GATGGAAGAATATTTCACTTAAATGTTTTTGCTAATAGCAAGGTAATATAATTCTGGCAAATGAAAATGAAAGGCCTTCAAATATTGTGCTTTCCCTCTGTTCAAATGATGTGTTTATCTTTTAAATGACTTGGAATAAAGATACACAGCTGCAGGGAAACCAACTGCGCAAGGAGATTAATGTCAAGAGATAAAAGAAGGGAAGTAGTTGTCTGCCAATAGGTAATTTGGAAAGTTCATATGTTTGCTAATCTGAGTACTGAATATGAATAGGCTACACTTTTCAAAAAAGCACAAATTGATCAAAATTAAGAATCTGCACATCTGGATTTTTTTTCCTAAGAGCAAGGATTAAATTATATTTCTTTCAAGTTTTCTAAAATAATACTTAGAATTCATATTCAGAGGCTACAGTTCTGTGCACATTTGCCAAGCTGGCAGTCCCCATTAAGTACAGCATGACTTGCTTTTGAAGAGTTTTATGGCAATTTTTATCTTACCTTCCTTCAAGAAACTCCAAACGAAACATTTAGTGTTCCCCTGGGCCCATACTGTATTCATATAGCCAGCCTGTGAGGTAAGTTAGCGTGAACATATCTATTCATATAACATCATCCAATGAGCTTCATAGATACCTGTGAAATCCTAAAGATGTTTACCCAAACATAAACCCCCAGTAATAGTATTTATTGGCATAATCATCTTGTAGTGTTATAAGTGTGGGACTGGGACTCAGGAGATCTGGGTTCTAGTCCCCACTCAGCTCACTGGGGGACTTTGGGCCAGTCACAGACTCCCAACCCAATCTAACTCACAGGGTTGTTGCTGAGAAGTTAAGACTGAGAGGAGGAAGAGATTTGTGTAAGCCATGTTGAGTTCCTTCAAAAGGAAAAAGGCCAGGCTATAAATATAATAAATAAATAAAATTTTGCATAATTTTAACAGTAATATGCAATATGCCTCATAGTGAAACGCTTGTCATAATTCTTACAGTAACACCAGTCAATACTATTTGCATATGTTGAGGTTCAGGTGAGGGAAGCTTTTCAAAGGTCACGTAATAGCAGAGGCAAATTTTGAGCCATGAATATCCTGAATGATTTGTAGTTGGTCTATTTAGTTACTATACTACTTAGTTACAAAAGCTGTTGCTAATTTAAAATGCAATTGATGAAATATTCTGAATTACTTATGAAAATATCTATGTATAGATGGTTGGCTAGATAGACATTTATTACATTGCATTTACATCCCATCTTTTTCCCTCTGGTGAGGAACCAAGGACAGCTTAAATAATCATCTTCCTCTCCATTCTGTCTTCATAACAACAGCTCTGTGAGGTAGGTTAGGCTGAGAGTCAGCAGTGAGCCTCATGGCCAAGTGGGAAATGGAACCTTAATCTCCTGAGTGCCAGTCCAACACACTAACCAGCACACACTGGCACTCAGTAAACATATTGATTTATTTTCATCTGCAGTACTTTAGTTGTTACAAAAAGGCTGTAAAATAATTTAAAAACCAAACTGAAAACAAGTCAACAGAGCAATCCAGTACATCATCATATGAAGGCCTGTCAGTAAATATTTAGAAAATCACAGAATGACACACTGGATCCCATAAAATAATGACAGGATTCAAATATCAGGGCATTAAAGTAGCATCACAGCTTGCCAGATTACTCTGCATTAAAAACCAGTTCAGACACCCAGGTCAGCACATCAGCAAGAAGCAGCACTGTTTTGTTATCACCAGCAGAGCACCAGAGCCTCTACTACACACACAATGTTGTGGTATCGGGCAAGCTGTGGAACTGAGTGGAGAAAGTGCCAACGTAGGAATGCAAAAGTCATCTCACACTTGAGTTTGAAGCCCATCTTATCTGGATATTCAGAGCATGCAACAACAAAATGAAAATGCAGACATAGTCTAGGAGGCACACCAAGTACTTCAGTCAGTCCAGAGCCAGCTAAAAGGGAGCAACTCTTACGTGCTTCAGACAGGATAACAAGAATGGATGATATGCAGGACAACCTTCCTCACTTGCCTCCTCACTGTAGCTACCTCAGCACATGCCATTTCATCATGCCAGTTGCAGCTACACAGATCTACCAGCTTTATGTGCCAGAATCAGATTTGGAGATAGGATTGCCAAATAAAAATGTTCGACATTAAGGGTAGATACAGAGATGTGGTATCTGTTCTGTAAAGTCCTCTGAAGATACAGTGTTATGAAACGAAGAGCTTACTTTCAGCTATAGGCAATCTGGATAACTTATCAAGAACATAGCAAGATAGAACATGAAAAAGACTTCCTGCAACTGAAGCCTACTTAACAGTGTCTCTAAATTCCAAGGTAATTATGTCATTATATGAACTATCCAATATTGATTTCTGTTCTGAAAATATTTGGAATGTACAGCTAAATAGTTTTACTAAAAATGTTATTAAAATAATGAAAAGTTGCTGGGTTTCTTTTTAAAGCAATGCTATATTGCTTCCAGGAAAATTAGTCTATATTTCATTATATTTTTGGCATATACCTATGTCAGTCTACATCACTGGGGTGTGATTACCAGGTGAAATTACAACAGAAATATTTCTTTGCAAGATTGATAAGGCTATTATAGCATGTAACACAATTCTCTTTCAACACACAGGTCTCTGACATTGTAATGACAATTTCTACTAAACTGTCATATGATATCTTTGCATTAAGCATTAAGAAACTACTTATTTAAAAAAGAAAATATATTTTAATGGATGGCTAAGCCAAAATTGTCACTTTTAAAATTTCAGGCTTTTTCAGTTTATATTTGTTGATTCTTTCAAAACATTTATTTTGACTGCATATTTATTCTGCAGAATGTGGACATCATGTCTGACATATTATTTTGAGCACATTGTATAGTGTTTTATTGGCTATATCGACCCCTATGAGTTGATTTGCTCAAGATGTCATTACCGAATATTAATTGGCTTGTTGTATAATATACAGCTTGTATATAGTTGCATGATTGTATTGATGGAAGTCAAGTGGTGTAGCAGAAGGCATTAAGAAACAGGCTCAAGTAACCCTAACAACACTGATGATATGAAAGTTCCCTGTCCTCCTGTATAATATACCCCTACCCTAATAGTTGGCACATGCAAAAGAAGGCATCCAACAGGTTCAAATGACATCCAACAGGTTCTTAAAAAGAAAAAAAGAACTCATTTAGTGAATAATTTTGCTCATTTGAAAGAATACATTTAATATGAAACACCAACAAAAACTTTTATTTTCTTATTCTGCTCTCTGGAATCTGCACAACATTTACTAACTTTATGAAGGGTGTTACACAGAACTGTTGGGCTGAAAGGGATCTCGAAACTATGTACTTCAGAGTTAGAAAATCTATGTATCTAAACATCTCTAACACATTACTCCATAAGATCCTTCTCCAAGCAAGATAGCCTGTCCTTATTTAATTGCTATGTTTCTAATGTGCAGAATAATTACTGTTATCTGGGGAGATTATAGTTAAAAGACAAAAATGCCATAGAAATTATTAAAAATATAAAACACAATGCAAATATTTAAAATAATACAATACAATACAACAAACAGCAAAGGAATAAATAAAACAGCCATAAATGCCTAGAACTGGGTCCCCAAAATGATTGTAAGGAACAGCCTTTTCCTGGTGCCGAAATGATATCAATGCAGGTGCCAAGTAATCTCCTTCAAAAAATCATTCCATAAATAAGGTGCTACAACTAAGAAGCCCCTATCTCATGCAGCAGCATTAAAATCAGGGCAGGATAGCTAACTGCCAGTTATGGGAACAGTTTGGTTTACCATTTGGTATGAGTCCCAATCTGATGTACTCAGTTTCATAAGACTGACCATCACAAGTACACTGCACATGCTCTAATGCAGCAGCTCTCGCTTCATATGATTATGTAACAGGAGGCAGGTTCCTCTTCTCATAAACTGTTATTCACATACAACATATTTACATGCAAAATTCAAGTGTGAACTTTCAACATTTTAAAAACATGTTATTTTACTCATTTGAAAATATATTCAGCAGGGCTAAGGAATGGGCAGAGAGGATTTGAGGAGCTATGTCCAAGTGAGCTCTCTTGTTTATCTGCAACACAACTGCTGTGTTAGATCAAACCAAGGGTCCATCTAGTCCAGCATTCTGTTCACATGGTGACTAACCAAAACGCCACAGTACGACAGCTGCAGCAACAATCTCTCACCCATGTTCCCCAGTCCCTCTTGCATATATGCAAACTGCTTCTGATACATGAAGCATCATATAGTCAACAGAACTAGTGGCTATTAATGGCCTTCTCCTCCATAAATCAATCCAAATCCCTTTTAGCAAGGAAATTGGATTTATTTCCTCCAAATCAGTGGCCTTAGCTACAACCTGTAGAAGTGAATTTTATCATTCAACTACACACTATACACTATTCAACTATACACACTGTATAAAGAAGCACTTGCTTTTCTGTCCTGAATCTCCCAATTAGCCTCATGGGATAACCGCTTTAGGTTCTAGCATAAGAGAGATTTAAAAAAATCTTAATCAATGCATATTTTGTACATTTTGCCTCTTCTTTTTCTCTAAGCTAAATAATTGTCAAAGGGAGTGAAAAAACAACCACCTGTTCTTTCCAGGCATCTGTGCTGTACCTCCCAGCACTGTTTCTTACATTATTGAATTAGAGCTTTTAACAAAGGGCAATCTTCCACAATTTTGTGCCCTCCAGATGTTTGGACTACAATTCTACTACCTGATAATTGGCCATGTTGGCAGAGGTCAATGGAAATCGTAATGCAAAACATTAGAAGGGTGCCAGGCTAGGGTAGGCTGCCCCTGGGCCTAGGCCCAAACAAACTTATCAGAAAGGCAGTGCAAACTCTATGAAGTTGTCAGTACAAAAATCTATTAAACTTGGCTTAATAACCCCAATGCTGGGTTATTATAAATTTAGGATTCACTTACATCTCCAAAATAGATTTGAATGAGTAATTCTGCTGATTGAACCCACTAGCTTGTCACATTTCCTTAGAAAACATCCAGTTTAGATTAGATTCCCGTTGTTTTATGGGTATTTGCATTTCAACTGCTCCATTTCTTTAAGTGTTAGGACCTCGGCTGTAGCACCAGTAAAAGATCTTTCTTCCTTCTCCTTTTTACACTCCCCCCAAAAAAGCCGAGGGGGGGTAGAGGACTGGCGTTCTTCTCAGCCATTAACAACCAGGGTCCGCCGCTCCCGAGGATCGGAATCAGCCATGACAGCACTGCGGCAATTGCAGCGCTGGCAGAGACAAGAGCGAGGGGAAGCACTTGCGCGAGCAACTGTCTGCGCGCGCCCGTCACGTGTAACCGCGCTCCCACGTGAGCAGCCCAATCCTCACGGAGCGGAGGGAGCGCGGCACTAACGCTGAGGCGAGCCGGACCCGCGCACGACTGCAGCGGAAGCCCGTTTCTGGGCAGAGCAGCCGAGAGGCGGAGGCTCCGAGGGACGGCCTCTAGCCCAGCCTCTCCGCCGCCGCGCCCTCCCTCTCTCCGAGCGGCGGTTGCCTGAGCCTCGCCCGAGCGCGGGAGGCGGGTTCTTCGCTGTCGGCTGAAGTGGCTTCCTGGTCACCTGAGAAGCAGGAAGGAGCCTGGTGGCCCAATTCAACCCGCCGCCGCCGCCACCATGGCATCGCTTTTCAAGAAGAAGACGGTGGATGGTGAGTGCGGGCAGATCTTAGCCTTGCGGCGGTCTCCGTCGCTGGCGCTCTCGTGGTTGGGGTCCCGTTCTCCGGCCTTGGGGCGACCATTCCCCACCACCCCTCCGAGCGCCCTGGCGGCACTGACCCCCTTCTCAGGGCAGGGGCAGATTCCTTAACTTCAGCCTCCCCGCAAGCGCCTCGGGCCGCCCCTGGCACTGGCAAGAGCTTTCGGGAGAGTCTGCAGTTCAGGGAGTAACCAGTGTTTGCCAGTACTTCACGGAGTACCAGTACTTCTCTCCAAGGAATGACGGGCATGCGCCGTTTGCCACTCCCTTCACTTCTGTATACTTGCAGCTGAACTGGTGGCTCTTGATGTTAAGGCGCAGTGTATCGCTTTCTCATAGAAATAGCCCTCTAATCTTTATTGCAGGTTATCTTGACGTTCTGGGGCTGGGCTCCTTCAGTGCAGTACTAGATTATGACCATGCCTGGATGCAGACTTGGTTTCCTATCTATTTAGGAGTTAGTGCTGGCTCTAGTAATTTGTGCTAGTAAGACAAGGTGAGATAGAATGAACATGACTCATTCTATAAGTATACCTTAGGTAAAATGTAATGAGGCCGCATGCAGGCACTAAGAGACTGATAATACCTGCTTAATGACTGACTAGGACTGTGATTCCAGCTACACTTACCTGGGAACAAGCCTCATTGAACACAGTGGATTTTACTTCCAAGTAACCATGCAAAGGGGTGTATTGTTCAAATGAATTAATAGTGAGAATATTGTGAGCCACTTCTTAAAATGTATGAAAAGGTTTTTAATGGCTTCATTTAAAGCTATTCTGAGTAATGGTTAGAAAGTCTAAATTCAAGAAATTTCCAGAGTTCTGAAGCAGCAGAGACAACACACATCATTTCATTCAACATAAGCTTTCTTTCCAGCCCTGAACTGCTGGGACATGCTGGTGTTGGCACAGAGTTGGAAAGCTGTAACAAAAGCTCTTACTGTTCTGCTGAAAAACTGATGTCCTTTATTAGTAATGCTGCATATTGTTTCATATGTGTGCCTTTATTGTCTCCTAGAGATTGTATATGCACAAATTAGTGGTATATGCACAGATTATTTAGATATTGATATCTAAACCAGTAATCAGAGTAAAAGACAGAAGCTGTGTATTGTGCTTGAGGGATACCTTTCTCACTTTCAAGTAAGTTACCTCAGAGGAATGCTTTGAATTGTATTAAAGCAGGTGGTTATTTAGAGGCAAAGAGCAAATGCTGTGGCTGTTACCACATGCACTTTTGTCTTTTAGCTTGTTTAAATGAAATCCTTAAATCACAACAGGATGTTGTTTGTGTGATCTTTCTAGAGTTAAATTTGCATATTTATTATAAACTATTGTAATCACTTACATCTATTAGTTTTAATGCTGGCTACCTGCTATGTTCATGAACCAATATCTGGTCACGTAATAGCTGGTCAATATGCGTATAGTGTTTTACAACCAGAATGGATTTCAAAGCAGTTAATACAATCAGATGTATATTGATTTTGCCTGAGATGGTATTGCCTTAACAAGGGCAAATCTGAAAAACCAGGTAACAATTGGTGTTGTGTGACTTATGGCTCTGTTTCCTGAAAATAGTGATTGCAGAAGGGATACTGGAGGAACCAGTGTTTTTTTCAGAGTCCTCCCTTCCACTCTGCCAAGTGTGCCTTCCTACAGCCATGACCACTCTGAGCATATGGTATCAATAACTCCTAGCACACAAAAAGCTGAGAAGTGATTGTTGTAAAAGGCATTGGTGTATTTCGTTTACTTCCCAGGTCCCCTGCAGTCAGTCTGATCTAGCAATGGTGGGCAGTATCCAATACTGCACTTCTAGTGGAACATTCCACTAGTAACACTTCACAAACCAATAAGAGATGAGTTGAAACACTTACTTCCTAAAAGGGCACAAAGCCCACTGAACGAAGCTTTGCTGAATATTAGTTCAAGAAATTATGTTCCCACTGTTCCAGCAATAGGTCCCTCTTGCACAATGGAACTAGAGAGCAGAAGCAGCCCCACTTGAGAGGACCCTGATATCCATAAAACCTTGGCTACATCCCAGTTAGACTGTTGCAGTATGGTTTAGGAAGGCTACAAACAAGTGTCTAGAAGGGGCAGTTGGGGCAAAATGCACTGCTAACTGGTACAAAGTAGTACTAAATGACTAAGGCCCTAGATAACTGAGGGACTACCTGTCTTGCTAAGATCTGTAGGAAATGGTGGCAGAGGCCTGCTTGCTGAATATGCTGGAAAGGGTTTTCTTTGCTGTTTTCTTGGACTCTGGAATGTGTTTCTGTTGGAGCTATGACTTGCTTTTACTATTCAGGAAGGAGTCAAGAGGTACCTTTGTTTTAAGGTTTTTTTAAGGCCTTTGAGATTTTTTAGTTTTAGTTTGATAAACTGCCTGGATTGTATACTGCCCCCATGCGTTCAATAATTGTGCTTTCAATAATTGTTAATTGTGTGAATATTTGTTTTGTAAGCCGCCCCGAGGCTTTCTGCGAATGGGGCGGCATAAAACTATAATAATAATAATAATAATAATAATAATAATAATAAAAAGGGTATGTGTGTACAGGCAGTTACAAACATCTAAGTTACAACAAGCAGTACTTACAAATGAACTGCCATAAAGTCTATTAATTTTTTAAAAATACTGTGGAAAATCATCATCGCCATAGAGAGTAAGGAAGCATAAAGGAGAGAGGGAGGGACTCCAAAGCATCATAGTGAGAGAAGAAGAGCTTCCAGACATCACCATAAAGAGATAAAAAGCAAAGAGAGAGAGAGGAAGGGCATCCAATGCATGCCTTCTTGCACGGCCAATCCAGACAGGGAAACCTCTCTGGAATTTCCTTGCAGCAAAGAAGAGGTGCTGGTGAATTTGGGCCGCGGGATGGGCTAGAGATGTTAATGGCTTTCCCACAATAATGGGAATCCTGCACAGCTAACTCGTGCAAATGTGGACAGCCAACTCTACGTGATCTGTCTTGTATACAAATTTGATGTAAAGATAAAGTTCTGTTTTCTCAGGAATGGAACTAGTTTGTAAGCTGGACTGCCTGTATTCCCCAGGTAGATTTGGTTTAAATCACGGTTTAAATCACTATACAGTAAGATTAGATTTAAATCATGATTTTCTACATAATTTGCATGCATGTCTGTATTACCCATAGGTAAAGGAACTTCATTAAAATATTCCCAAAGTGGGTTGTTTTTATGGCATGCTGCCATTATAGGTTTTCTCCTCCAGGGAAAAATATGATAAACCTCAGGCTATATACAGAAGGTCCAAAGACTTGAGTATTCTGCTTAAAAGGTTTTATTTTCATTTTTACTGCTTGCCCCTCCTCATGCTTAGCTTCTTGTGCAGATCTATTCCACTCCCAACAGCATTAAGAGGTAAGGGGTTTATAACATTTTTTACTGTGAAGATGAGACATGTGATCTCTGCAGACACAAATTCAGTTTTGAGAACTGTAAAACCAAATATCTGTGATGATATCTTGTAGATAGAAAAAAATGCCCAATAATCTTACAAAAACCTCTAGAAAAGCATGATGTTGTAAATGGATTAATGGAATTCACCAATTTTACTAATAAATAAATAAACAAACTGCATGAGTATACAGCCTCATGCTACATAATTAAAAACTAATCCTTATTACATGATGAATAACATTTGGACTATAATGTATCTTAAATAGAAAAGATGCAGTAGAAGTGCTACACTCAGTATGCCCGCAAATTTGGAAAACTCAACACTGGCCACAGGATTGGAAAAGGTCAGTTTACATTCCGATCCCAAAGAAGGGCAATGCCAAAGAATGTTCAAACTACTGTACCATTGCACTCATTTCACATGCTAGCAAAGTGATGCTCAAAATCCTACAAGCTAGGCTCCTGCAGTATGTGGACCGAGAACTACCAGAAGTACAGGCAGGATTTCGAAGAGGGAGAGGAACTAGAGATCAAATTGCCAACATACGCTGGATCATGGAGAAAGCTAGGGAGCTCCAGAAAATCATCTACTTCTGCTTCATTGACTATGCTAAAGCCTTTGACTGTGTGGATCACAACAAATTGTGGCAAGTTCTTAAAGACATGGGAGTACCAGACCATCTCATTTGTCTCTTGAGAAACCTATATGTGGGTCAAGCAACAGTGAGAGCTGGACACAGAACCACTGATTGGTTCAAAATTGAGAAAGGAGTTCGGCAAGGCTGTCTACTGTTGCTCTGCCTATTTAACTTATATGCAAAGTACATCATGAGAAAGGCGGGGCTAGATGAATCACCAGTTGGAATTAAGATTGCTGGTACCTCAACCTCAGATATGCAGATGGTACCACTCTAATGGCAGAAAGTGAAGAGGAACGAAAGAGCCACTTGATGCGGGTGAAGGAGGAGAGTGCAAAAGTTGGCTTGAAACTCAACATGAAGAAAACTAAGATCATGGCATCCGGTCCTCTCACTTCCTGGCAAATAGACGGGGAACAAATGGAAGTAGTGAGAGATTTTATTTTCCTGGGCTCCAAGATCACCACAGACGGGGACTGCAGCCAAGAACTTAAGAGATGCTTGTTCCTGGGGAGGAAAGCTATGGCAAGTCTAGACAGCATACTAAAAAGCAGAGACATCACCCTGCCAACAATAGTGCATATAGTCAGGGCTATGGTTTTCCCAGTTGCAATGTATGGCTGCGAAAGCTGGACCATAAGGAAGGCCGAGCGCCGAAGAATTGAGGCCTTTGAATTGTGGTACTGGAGGAGACTCCTGCGAGTCCCTTGGACCACAAAGTGATCAAACCAGTCAGTCCTAGAGGAGATCAACCCTGAGTGCTCTTTAGAAGGCCAGATGCTGAAGATGAAACTCAAATACTTTGGCCACCTAATGAGAAGGAAGGACTCCCTGGAGAAGAGCCTAATGCTGGGAACAATAGATGGCAAAAGAAGAAGGGGACT